TATATATATATATATATACCTCGGTTGCTACTCAAACAAGAGGATAATACTTCTGCTATGGTGTAAACGCCACCGTTTGCAGGACAAAGCCTTCGGCTCCGCCGAATACCACCTCACCATCCTTTCTATGCTGCACGATGTGTACAGTGGAGTTGATGGACAGCGCGTCCAGCTGCGAAATACCTGCAAAATCATCATCGAATCAGGCAAGGTAAAGCGCAATACTCTGCAGTTCACCAGAACAAGAACTGCGTCATTACGCAACTGGTTCAATGGCGGTACCACTAGATGCGGCGCCTGACAAAGCTGAAGAAGCTTACGGGGTAACAAATCCGTCACTGCCTGTCTGTAGCCAGGCCCCAAGGACGCCTGTAGTGGGTTCCGCTCGAGGTAAAGTGTATCCAGAGAAGGAAGCTGCTGCAAGCAGCGAATCTTATCGAGACTCGCCAGACTATTGTCATTGAGCTGCAGTAGCACCACCAGCATAGCATCTCCACTGAATTTTCCAGCACCTCATCGCCTTTCAGACACCCGTGAGCTTCCAACACGCGTGCATTCACAAGCAACGGCGGATGATGGTGCGGTGGAGCAGGAAACCCCCTGCTTACCCATAAATCCTGCAGCTGCGGCAAAGAAGCAAGAGCTTCAACACTGTCGATTCTGTTGCAGCACAAGTCAAGCACCATTAACTCCACCTGCAGCCCACCCAGCATATATCCACAACGAAGTCACGCCATGCGGCAGACGCAGGGGTAAACGCCCAGCAGTGCACAGGGGCCAGAGCAAAGAAACGCACACATGTGCAAAACCGCGGCGACGTAGGAAGCGGCAGCAGCCAAAAAAAGAACACGGTGAGACAACATAAGTGCTAGCATAATGCTCTTACCAACTGGCGAATCTCTGAAGGAGGCGAAGGAAGATTATTGTGCGACAGATAAAGCTCGCAGAGTTTAGGGCAATTCCCAAAAAGCGCAGGATTCCACTCTTCAATGCGGTTGGACTGAAGGCTGACACGGGCCAGCTGCGGAAGGCATGGCAACTCCTGCACAAACCCCGCCACAAAGGCGATCCATCATGAACTGAAGAGTAGCAACAGTGGAGGAAGCGTCAACAGCAGTAACTCTAATACCATCAGCAACATTCGCACCACCAAAAGGCTCAAATGAACATAAATGATACGGTCAAGTGACAAGCGCAGAGAAACACAACATACGGGAAGTTCACCCTGTCAGAACTGATGCCCCAAGGTGTCCCCCAACTCCACCCCACCGCAGCGGTTTGGATATAGTTCGAAATGTTACGAACAGGAGTTTGGTCCAAGCAGCCGAAGCTGGAGGCAACACAAGAAAGCGTCACTGAGGCCACCCACTGTACCGCAATCCGATAAGCCATGCATACCATCCATAACTCTAAGAATGATGAGAGCAGCCTACTCCAGAAGACCCTAGACCCCATCAAAACCTTAAGCCCTAAACCACATACACACCATGCGGGTTATTTTGTTCCGGCCCAGCCATAATTCATTCAGATTTGTCAAATTTTCTATGCCCTCTACATCGCGAATCCTATTTGATCCCAACTCCAGCGTGCGCAGCTCCTTTAGCGTCGAAAGGCCCTCAATCTGCCAACATCCCAATGCACACTGCATAAGAACCTATAAAATTGCTGCCGCGATCAGCGTCTTAGCTGTTCCTGCTGCGCGCGCTCCTGTTCTGGGTGTTCCTGGGTTTGCTGTGTTCATGCGACGCACATACCTTGGATATTTTGTTGCTGGAAAGAAATAATTCTCGCAGATTGACGAGAGTTTCAAGATGCTCAATGCGTCTAATATTGTTGAATGACAAGTCCAAGACCCTACAGGCACGGCAGCCCATTCTACAGCTCTCAACAGGGCGATTGCGAGGAATGAGAAAACGCCCACTCCCCGCGCATATTGGAGAAGCAGCAATTCACCTCAAAAAGGCTAAACCTAGGTAGAAGCAAGAAGCAATGACGACAACGGGAACATGAAGGCGAACCTGAGGTTCGTTAGGTGCTGTATGTTATCTATGCGCCTGATATGGTTCTGGTAGAGCTCCAGCTGCTCCAGCGATGGGCCCTGTTCCTCGAGGCCTTCAATGACTGTAACTTCGTTCGCAATCAATGCAAGTTTCTGTGCACGCATAAACGGAGCGAGCAAGTAGCAACAACGCACAGATGTTGTTGGAGCCAGCAAAGGATGGAAACAAGAGTGTTGGGGTTTGCGGGCACAACACAGCTCCCAAAACAGTCACCCATGTTGACTGTAAGGCAATGAATAAACACACTACGCCACAGACCTTAAGGTTCTTGAAGCCACTTAGGTTTTCAATCTTGAAGATGCGGGCGGCCTGGAAGAGGAGCTCCTCGTCGTTGGAATCGAGAGGGATATCGATTCCCAGGCGCTGGGCGTGCAAGCTGTTGCCTTCTTCATCTGGAGAGGAAACGTCTGAACATTTGCGAGCGTTCTCTGACTTTATGGGGGAGGTGGTGGGACGTTGAACCTCCGCACCTACACCGGTGCCTGGTGCACTGGTGGGCGGGGGGATCCCCTCACCGGCTTCACCGCTCTCTGGGCCACAGTGAGCACACACACAGAACAAAACTGCTGAAAATATACTCTTAAATTTCCCTACAACGCTTTAGGCATGAGAAAGTCAGCTGCTGCTGCTCACTAGACTCACCGGCTGGGCCCATCGCTCATGCTGTAATGCCTGGCAGTCCAATGAGTCCGGCGTTCTCAGGGAAGAGTTGAGAATTACAGTGGAAATACAGACTGTAAATCAATTCAACTCTGTAGCTTTATTCACAATAACTAGGACGGCTAAGACCGAGGGTCAACAACAGCAGTGGTTGGGGCTGGCATCGCAGGAACGTGGTTAGCGACGAGATTTAGCCGTAGTTACCTTCCGTGTCCACCGAGCATTTCAAGTAGGTCTTGCTGCCCTTTAAATGTAGCTACAAAGTGGCCTGTGGCCTAACGAGGCCACGGGCACCCAGCTTACCCTAGGTGCTTCTTGGCAACAAGATCCACGCTGCTCGCTAAAAACAGGAGCCGCCCCTACAAGCCAAAGGACGCCCAGCAATGAACATGAGCAGCGCATTTAAACAGTTGGCTCATACACCTCTGGACCATAAGTATAAACTCAATAAAACTAGCAACATATACGCCTGGAGAACCGGGTCAATTGCAACACGACGAAGGCAAAACATCTTTAGCAACTGGCATGCTTAAGGCTAGCCGGTGAGGCAAGACAAACATTTTCGAATTAAAAGTTGACCATGCAGCGTCCCCCACCGGAGTTGAAGCTAGTTTCAGCTGAGCGCAGAGATCCACCTCGCAGTCTCGTGCAGGGAGGTTCGCTGTAGAGGGGTAGATGCGTCACTCCCGTTACAGTATTGAGATAGCCGCCGACTATCCATACGCGGAGGAAAACTTTGGAATAGTTGGGGCCTCATAGCGAACTGTATCATGCTCTGTCTGAAGATGCGTGCATTTTTCCCAGCCCGTAGGCTGGCTACGACGCGTTGTGCACTGTCTGCAGTGTTGGAACATCCATCAGAATGGGGCTTCTTCGACCCTTTAAACGGGGTTATGTTGAAGAACGGAGTTGCTTCAACTCGTTTTGCATTTCATGAAGCGCCCGCTCGCCACTGCGCCACTTCCGCCATCATGCCGCTACGCTCATGACGCAACGAGTTTGACCAGCTAGTTAGCTATTTTGGGGGAATCTTAGGAGAAGTATATTAGCTCCACTGAAGCTCTAGTGCACCTCTGAGTGGGACCCTACTAAGAGCGTGGACTATCTTCACGCTTTGTAGAAACGCATGCTTACGAGAGGGAGGCGCGAGCTCAAAAAATACTCTTCCACATACGAAAAGCCAGACATTACATCATTGACAGGCCATGAAGAACCCTGGCATGAACAAGGGAAGATTTGCAGATGCTTTCGATAAGATGCACCCCAATGATTCCCCCTCTGCGTCTCGCGACAGCGAAGAACAGCTACGATGTACCCTATCTCAGGGAGCCGAGTACAATTTGGGATCTTCGTCAAGATGAAAGCCACACAGCACCCCAAATATCCAGCTATCCAAATATCCAAAAGCAAACACTGTCGGGAAAAGTACCCCAAGAATCTCATGCTTTTCTTCATGTGTGCAGTGCTTCTTCGTAATCTACCGAAGGAACTACAGTTGTAACGCTCATCGCCTTCGTTACAAAGGGCGGTATGGGACATGTGGCTATATCTATGCGACTTACCCTTGTTTATGAGCACACACCATTATAGAGCAATCTGAATATGCGCTGATGTGTAGCTTTATCAACATCCCGGCAAGGTAATAGGGACAACCCAAGAAAGCGGAACAAGCACGGCAAGCTATTCGTGCAACATTGCTGCAGGATGTATCAGTCCTTGCAAAACAGAAGCTCTGAGGTGATCCCGAAGATTCTAGGTTGACTACCAGTAGTAGAGCCGTGGAGAGAGGCAATCCTCTACTATCCTGCCGTGTAGAAGGAGCTACGCGGGAACCAAAGTGGAACTCACAATTGTCAGGATTTGCAAACGAAGCAACGAGAAAGAACCAAACTCTTCCGCACATGGCTGAGAAAGACGAAGTAAGTTTTGTAAGTGGGATAGTTATAGGGCCTGTACATGTTGAAGATGTGGTCGGCAGTCCCACCCAGAACAAGGTGGGCCGCCAGTACAGGCGGGAGCCTGCAATCTCGGCATTCGACGGTGAAGTAGAGACAAGAGCTAGTGCTTTGTTTGTCACGGGTCAGATCCCCCTAGCCCCAAGTTGCTGGCTCATGCAAAATGTAAAAGGGTTGGAAGATTTTGAGCGATGTCGCGAGGGTTATCAACGCAAGCCAGAGAAAGGCAGTGATCCCAGCGCACCATGTTAATATTGGGAAAAAAGAGATGGCGGTAGCACCGACAACTCCACTTCGAGCTAACTGCGTGCTTAAGTAAGTTAGAATTAATGATAAGGAGTTGCTAGCGCCACTTGACACGGGCTGCGAAGTGCACAAGGAATCTGAAGATACGCGGATACGATGCGCCACCTATAACTCCAGTGATTGCCAACGCCTCGACTACTAAGCTACACCAATGGCAGGGTGCCGGAACGCTCACCTGTTTACCCATGCTACTTAAATACTTGCTGGAAATGCACAGGATCCCTGTTGTGGGGAAACGGCAATGCGCTAAAGCTCTTTTTATAGTGCGGCCAGAATGTCCCATTTCCTTTCCTAATTGGACATGACACGATACCAATACGTTGGTCACAGCTGCGGAAAATGGGGTAAGTTCTCGTCACACAGCAAAAAGGTGGATGATCACTTAGCACCGCATGGTTTCGATCCATGGACCTGGGGGTTATGAGCCCCCCACTCTCCCACTGAGCTACGGTGCTTATGCTGGTCTGCAACATTTAATGTGGGGTAATTGGAACTGGAGAAAATTTACGTATTTATATGGCTTCGTTCATGTCGTTGCACCTTATTTGTGTTTTCCTTTTCTGCATGGCTTTCGTGTTAGCAGCCCCTTGGGCCCCCACGCTGTGACAATTTGTTGTTTACTGGGGCATTGCACTTGAAAGCACCTTTTTTATTGAAATACTTTGAAACTCAGCTTTTATTTGACTAACTAAGGGGCAAATACTGGTGAAATTGGGGAGAAATAACTCAACCTGAGGACCGCCAGTGATCGCCTGATTGGCGGCAGCGCTACCAGGGCTGGCAGGCGTCGGCAGCCCCCGCTTGGTTCTAGTATTCCTCCACGAATTTTTGTTTTTTTGCGTCCCACACCACATCCTTTAGTGCTGTTCGTTCTCTTAAGGGGAGTTTGTGAGGCTGGCAAACTGCAGACAAATGCTTCCTCGGCGGCCCGTGGAGCTGGGCAGCCCGTTTCCGTGTCGCGGCCGAACCGCTCGGGGCACGGGCCCCCAGTGCTCCTGCTATGGCTGATTGCCACTCAAACCACTGTTGCCTTGGTCTGCTTAAGCTTTTCCTTTATTTCCGTCTCCGGTGGCTTACTTTGCCCACGTACACAGCTTCGAGACTGGGGGCCCGTGGCTGGGCCCGACCGCGGCGGGCAACAGTCGCTGGAGGGGCCCCTTTCAGGGAATACACCACAAGCATCAGCAGCAACAGAGCGCGCCTCGTCAGCAGTAGAAGCACCCGTGTTTGGAAACTGCTGCTGCACCTGATGCAAAAAGATGGGGGCAACTCCCACCACGCTACACCCCTCTGCGCGAGGCCGCTTCTGTGAGTCAAGACCTCATTTAAATCACAAGGGGCAGCATACAGGCGGGACCTGTAGCAGCATGAGCAGCAGCACAGATTCTCAGGTACAGCAGCATCAACTCCACCAACAACTGCAGCATTTGCTGCAGCGCCAGCTCCTCCAGCTGGGTCCCACCAACCTTTCTGAGGCCGAGATCGCGGATGCTCTAGAGGGGAGGGTTCCCCTGATGCTGCATATTGACAACAAAAAAGGGCCTCCTCTTAAGGTGTGGGTGGCAGGAACACTAAGGAAACAACCTTCAAGGCTTGCTGAAGGGCAGGCGGCGGCGCAGTGGGGGCCGCATTTGCAACTGGTAGATGGCAAGCATGCCTCTCAGCTGCGAGTACTCTGGGGAAGGGTTTCTTCTGCAGCGGAAGCAGAAGCTGCTGCTGTTGCTGCTGCAGTGGGGGCGCCTCCAAACTGCGATCGCGAGGATGACCTTCCTGTGTTGCGTTGCTGCAGCAGCAGCAGCTTCAACACGGCTCCAGATGTTTTTGCAGAAAGCAGCCCTTCAGGCCCCCCTCTCCTGCGAATTTCGCCCCCCCTTAATCCCTGGAGGACTGCCTGTTTGTGGAGAAAGCGCTTCTACTCTGCTGTCTGCGCTTCGCTGCAGCAGCAACAACAGCCGAAAGCGCAACCGCCGCAACAGCAGTACGGGGCTGGAGGAGCTGCTGCTGCAGAGATTGTTGATGGCTTGCCCATTCGTTTGTGGCAGATTGAGTGGCTGAGACTACAGAGGCTGTTTGGAGAGTCCCTGCAGGCGCTGTTCAATGCACTGCAGCGGCAGCAACAACAACAACACCAACCACGTGAGCAGCAACTCGAACAACAGCAGCTGCAGAAACCGCCTGATGCAAGTTGCCCATATGTGAGCCTAGCATCTCGCCTTACAGCTGCCTTGGAAGAGCCAGCGGCACCAGCAGGAGCACCGGAAACAGCAACAGCAACAGAAGCAGCAGCAGCAGAAGGCGCAGGAACGCGAGAAGCGGCACTTGAACGGGTAGGGGACCAGTCATGCCTCTGCGGTTTGTGTGGGCCCGAGACAGCCGAGGAAGGCAGCGTGTGTAGAGAGGACTGCCAAGGAATCCCCAACTTCTGCTTGCCTACTGCCGCTGATGCTGTTAGGGGAGCTTCTCCAGCAAGCCCGTTGCTGTCTGACGAAGTCAGGCAACAGCTCCTCATTGAAGCTCGTGATGAAAGCCTCCAAAGAAAGTCGTTGCTGCAGCAGGCTGCTGCTGGTTATGGTGCTGCTGCGGAGCCCTTTGCGGCTGTACCAGAAGGACCCGTGCTTAGAGTTGTACATACGAGTCTCTCTCCCCTGAGGGGCGGTTCCTTCAGCGAGTGGAAGAATGAGATGCGGCACCAGCAGCAGCAGCAATGGGGACATCTTGGCTTCGTCAGCATTCAGAAAGCTGAACGGACGAGGGAGGCACCTGCTGCTGCTGCTGCTGCTGAAGAATGCAGAGACTGCGCGGGAACCCCCCTCCTGCTGCATGCATCTTTGAATGTACCTATCTGTACGCCGTTTCTGAACTGTGGCACCAAAACGCACCTCTTCTTCCAGAGCAGGAGCAGCAACAGCAGTGGCATCCGCAGCACATATCCACCCGCTCACTGTTGCTGCATCGCTGATGTGCAGGTGCACACTCCCTCCCTTTTACTACCTCCCTCAGCAGCAGCCCGTAGCAAACCTGAGAATTCCCAGCGGCTGCTTCTGCACTTACATCCAGCCTATCTTTACATCCTAGAGCAGCAGCAACAGCATCAGAACCTACAGCAGCAGCAACAGCCACTGGAAAAGGCAGAGAATCTGGCGGCATGGACAGCAGCAGGACAGGCACTGCTCCTTCGGGCCATTCAGTGCTGCCGCGTGGGAGAAGCAGCCACATTTCAGGTGCAGGTGCATCAAGGCAACAACAGGAGCAGAACGGATGAGTCCGAGAGGCAGCAGTTGGTAGCGGCGCTGTCTGTACACCTCATAGACGTCCTCCCCCTGCCTTCCTTCACTCACTCGTTCGTCAACAGCGGCAGCAGGACGAATTCACAGCAGTACCAGGATGATCCTACGAAAATAGACCACAGCTCATCTGAATTGCGGCAGCAACAACTGTTGCTGTGCATCCAGTGGCAGAGGTCGTTGCTGCTCGTGCAGCGCGAGCTACAACAATTCGCCGCAGCCTGCATTGCTCTGCTGCTGCAGCAGCAGGACCACCCAACTCCGCTGCTGCCTCGGCTACTGGCGTGTGCCTGCAAGAGCTGTCAAGACGCTGCAAAGCCACCCCCAGCACCAGAGCAACCGCAGCACCAGCAGCCACAGCAGCAGCCACAACGGCAACCAGAGCAACAGCTGAAGCAGCAGCAACGCGGGATTTCCAGGGCGCCACTGCCCCGTCGCAACAGCAGCGTGGCGATGGCAGCTGCAGCAGCAGCTCGCAATTTACTTGGCCTAACATCTACAGAGCAGCAGCAGCAACAACAACAGCCCAGCACCAGTAAGCTAAGGGGCCTCCTCCTGAGGGGCAGAGCACGGATGTCAAAACCCAAGGTGGAGCCAGAGCTTCATCCTCCTCCTCTTCATCAACAGCAGCAGCAGTACAGCGGTTCCGTTGTTCGGAGCCTGAGCCGGCAAGGCATTGCCTCTACCCTTCGACGCCTCCGCAGCCGAAGCATCGATAAGTGGGTGTATCAGCAGCAGCAGCAGCAGCCGATGCCTAACATGTCAGATCCCGGCTCCTCACCAACTCCAGCAGCAGCAACAACAACAACGGCGTCAACCACAGCTTCTGGTGCTGGCTGCCCAGTAGCAGGACCTTCCCTTGGCAACGGAGGAGACCCCGACAAGGATACCGAGGGGGAAGCTCTCTGGAGTTTGTGTGCAGCTGCGCGAAAGTCCAGCACTCTGCTTTTCCTCTCAGATTTCCAACACCTTTTTGATACAGCTTTGGCCACCAGTAACAGCAGCAGCATCGGTGACACTTCACTGTTTTTATCCTATCGGCGGCGCCTGCGTGGTCTGCTGCAGCAGGGCGTCTGCATTCAGGGGGTGTTGGTCCAGCTTATCAGCACATCCAGGCATTGGCAGCAGCTGCAGCAGCAGCAGCGAGCAGCACGATCAGGCCTATGGCAGCAGCAAGAGCTTTCAATTTCACCGCTGTTTCTGCTTCTGGAGACCGGCGGCCTCCGTTTCTTTGTTTGCCCATTGCAGCATACCCATCAAGAGTATCATTTGCCTTTTCATGTCCGCATGCAGGGCCTCACAGCTGGATGCATGGAAGCAGCAACGACCGCAGAGAGTGGCGTCGTATCGTCCGGCGTACATGGCCTGGTACAGCAGTGTCAACTGCAGCAGCAACACCAGCACGAACTTGGGGCCCCCTTGGCACTCACAGATCCACTACCGCCACTACCCAACTCAGCTGCTGCTTTTTTGGGGGTCTTATGCACTGAGGCTGCTGCTCTCGAGGCAGCAGGAGACCCAGTTTGGATGCTGCAGCAACGCTTTCTGGAATTCCAGTGCAGTCAAGAAGAACTACACCACAGGCCAGAGCAGCGGCAGCAAAGAGCGTGGGGCCTTGTATTTGAGGCTGACAAAGCGCTCCCTTCCTTTGTGGCGATGGAGGTGCCTGCAGCAGCTACGCGGCAGCAAAGACAGCAAGCTTTCCTCGCAGCGGCAGAACCGCCTCCGTCCGCTGCTGCCGATAGCAAAGTCCACCAGCACCAATACAGCTGGCAGCCGCTTCATCATTGCCCTCATGCCATCCGCCACTGCTCCTGCTGCTGTCCTTCGGCAGAAGCTAGACAGCATCAACTTTGGCGCATCAGCAGCACCGGCAATTTGAAGGCGTTCTGCCATCGTTGTAGAGTTGCAGCAGCAGCCCCGACTTGGCCAGTAGCAGCAGCAGCAGCAGCCGAGAGCTGTGAAGAGGAGGCACCCGCAGCAGACTTCGTCACCGGAGAGTCCTACGTCTGGACCTCAAAGGGGAATGCTTGCACACTTGGGGAAGGGCCGATTGAGCAAGCCAGCCTCGCTGTGCTGCCGAAGGCATCTGTTAAATACATCCACTGCTGCAGTCCCTCTTGCAGCGGCAGCAGCATGAGAGAGCGTTCCAGGGCTGTTGCAGAGGCCCTAGTACAGCGCCAACTCTCTCACACAGACGGCCCAACAGTCCAGGCTGCACTCAGGCAGGGAGGTGTCCCTGCTGGCGTGGGTATGTGGTTGCTGTTCGATGAGTTACTGCTGCTTCTGCGCCAGGAGGCACCGCAGGTGCCACAGTGGGGCGGCAATGGCGAGGCCTGGTCGTCATCATTAGCAGCAACGGCTGCTGCTCTTTCCAAGAACGAGCAGCAGCAGCTGGTGTTGTGCAGTAGCAGTGCGCAACTAGTTGCCACTGCAACTGCATGCACCTTGTTAGGCAAATCTCTTCAAAATGTACTGCGGTATGAGCAGCAAATCGCATGCTACTGCTGCAGCCCTGCTGCTGTTTGTCAGCGCTTCTCCACCTGCGCCTCTCGGTGGGCCTTTTCGGGCGAGACGCAGCGGCTCTTGCACCAGGAGTCACCCGCCGCAACGGTAACAGCAGCAGCAGGAGCAACAGCAGCGAAAACAGCCGTGCATGGCGCAGAAGGTGTCTGGGAGAGCAGCTTACTGGTGTTTCATCGCCGCGTGTGTCTGTCTCTTGCAGCTTCCCTTATCCGCGCAGATGCCTTTAGTTCCATGCAGCTTCCGTTGCCCATGTTGCTACGATGTTGCCTCTTTGTTGCTCTCAAAAGCCCGTCTGTCCTGTTGGAGGAGCTGCAGCAGCAGCAGCACGCGCTCCCAGTCTGCCGCTACGCGCCTGCATCTCAGTTGTTCGCCCCCGGACCTGCACCAGCGGCTGCAGCCGCGACAGAAGCAGCAGGGACAGCACTGGCAGCAGGGGAGACAGCAGCAGGAGCGAGAAAAGCAGCAACAGAATGTACTCCGTGGGGCCGCGTGGCGGTGAAGTCCCCGTTGCCGTGTGCGACGGCTTGCGTCTCTGTCTTGCTGCTTGCTGAGTTTGTGCTTCATGCCCCCAGCACATGCATCCCCGTGCTGCCTACTTCTGGAGAGCCACCGGAAGAAGACTATCTTGAGGGGGCCCCCCTTCTGGACTGGAATTGGCTGGGGGCCCACGGAGCCTATGCAGCTTCTGCACTCCCCTTCAGAAGGCTACGAGCCTCCTATCCCTCTTTGCCAGCAGCTCCTTACTTCACGACGCCTCTGCAGCACCCGTTAAGGGCCCCTAGGGGGCCCCAAGTTGACCCTGTGGCGCATATCCTAAACCCTGAATTTATTGCTGCAGTCCCTGCTACCCTCAGGGGCGGTCTTCTCTGCCAGCTTCTGCTGCGCGCTTTGGCTCCCCCGGAGCCATATACGTGGAAGGCATATCGCAGGCAGAAACCCCAACAGCAACAGCAGCAACAACAACAACAGCAGCAGCAGCAGCATACATATGTTGTGGGTCGACGCCTGGACGGCGTGTCTTCAACAGCCGACGATCATCTCCTGCGGCTGCTAATGCTGCTTCTGCTACAGTTTGACAGCTGGCTGGGGTTCTCAGGGCTTCCAAAGCAGCAGCCAGCAGAAGGCCCCTCTTCCGCATGGCGACCAGCTGGAGGAGCAGCAGCAGCAACATCAGAAGCGGCAACAGCAGTAGCGTCCGGAGACTCCGACAGCTCTCGGCTTGTTGTTTCGTTTGGTTTAGAAGGCGGCTTTTGTGCTCCAGGCAGCAGCCTGCGGCAGCACCAGCTGGGTATTTTTGCAGCCCTTTCGAATGCTGTTGAGGGCATCCGCTTGGTGGGGGCCGCTGACGCCCCCCAAGCGTCCCTTCTTGCTGCCATTCTGTGAGTTCCCTCCATCAACCCTAACCCCCCCTTGCCTCCGCTTTTGACTAGTCACATGACATCTCACGGTTTCCACGTCCCCCGGAAGGTGCTGTCCATACACAAAGCCCACAGAAGAAGGTGTACATACGGGAAAAGCTAGCTGTCAACGCGTCTAGCTATGTAGTTACACGAGTGGCTAACCAGCTACAGCCCTACGAGGCTAGCTTAGCATCTGCACGACCATCTGGCTCTCTACACAGGCATCTTGCTGTCGCTGCGGATAGCTAGCTGCCTACGCAGCCATGCCGGAGCTCTCTCTTTTGCGCAGAAGGATCGGCAGCTCTTTTCAGATAAAATGCGGTGCAGGTATCCCAAGCAAACGGGGAGGCCCTATACACTAAAACTGGCTGTCAGCAAAAATGCCAGTGGAGTGCAGCAGAGCAGTGTGTTTTGTGCTTCTTTCTTAGGGGCCTGTGCCGGCTGAGACGCGGGTTCGCCGCCTCCGCTAAGAGGCGTCTGATGGCAGCCCTTGATTTGCTGCAGGGACACTACGGGTGTCCACTGCTTGAAGGCAAGTACACACCTGCTGTTCCTTCCACCTCTCCTGCTGCTGCTGGTGCTCCCTTATTCTCAGCTAATTTGGCGCGCTACTCTGTTGCTGCTGCGTCTGCTCAGAGGGAGCCGGGCATCCCTTCGCTGCTCTCCTCAGCTGGCTACTGCTGCTGATGGCCTACTGCAGTTGCGCAGTCCCGGACGCTGCCCTGAGCAGCAGCAGCAGCAGCACGATAAGCGCCAGCCAGAATGAGATTCTCAACTGTTTTGTGGAAACTGCCGCTGCAGCGACGGCCCGAGTTGGGGTGTATACGGACCTGTTGCGGGTGCTGCGCCTAAGGCTTAGCGTTTGTCCTTTGCCTGTGGGGCCCCCTCACCTCGTGCCCCGCCACATACCGTTGCTGCCTCTCCTTTCTGTAGACAAGAGAGTGCTTCCGATCGACTCCAAAGGCTTCCCTGGCCTCACAAACGACACCACGTCCTCTGCGGCTGCTGCTGCCGCTGCATATGTAAGTAGCAACCCTGCGGTGGCTCGGCAACAACAGCAAACGACAGCTGTCCTGATACCTTCCGAGTCAGCGCATCCCACCTCTCCCCTTGCTAGGAAGCAGCATGAACAGGCCTCCCGGCTCTTCGGGTGTACGTACACCCCAAAGTACCCCGAACACCGACATTGTCACCTTCCTGATCCTCTTCTGCAACCTCACGTTGCCTGCGCTGTCGTCCTCTACAACATCAGGAGATTGGGGATCCCTGTAATTCACTGGGCATCCGGTGTCTGCCCCAGGGGAGACCGCGGAGACCCAGCATCAGAATGGGCGGTTGCGGGCGTCTTGGGGACTGGCGTTGCTTCCACTTCTGTTCCTGCTGCAACCTCTGCAGCTACTTGTAGTGCAGGTTCTGCTAGTGCTTCTGCTGCAGCTTCAGGGGCAGCGATCTCTGCTGAGTGCTCATCAGCTGCAAATCAAGCAACAGCAGCAGCGAGTTCTAGCTGCGGTATTATGGGCAGTTCCGAAGACGAAGGTATAAGACGTTTATCTCCGTATGTCGTGAGGGGAGAGAGCTGCGAGCATGTACTGCAGTGGCTGCAGTGGCAGCGGCAGAGCAGGCCTCTGCTGTTCTCCTGCGGATTGAACGAGAAGGGGGCCCTGGGCCTCGGGGTGGCGACATACTTCCCTGTAGATCCCGTTTTAGAAGAAAGAGACAACTTCGTACGAGCAGCAAGAGGGACTGACGTGTGGTGAGTGCAAGCTGTTGCTGCCCTCGCCCTAACTGCTGTTGTTGTCGATGCTGCTGCTGCTGCCTCAAGTTGCCCTCCTCGGGCAAAGCTTGTCGCACAGCGGCATAGTAGGCTAGGCGGCGTACTACCACTGCAAATGTTCTGCTTCTACCTGTCCGTGCTGCTGCATGTTGTTGTTGCTTCTTCTTGTCCCTACTGCAGGTTCTGCTGCCAACCGCAGCAAGTTGTGGCTCTTCGTGGAACTGTCTGCAGTGTCTCTGCGGGGCTCCACTGCAGCGCTGCAGTTACTTCTGAAGGTTTTCTTTTCAGTTGGGGGTCTCTCGATGGTGGTGTAGACGATGTTGACCTTAGTCACAGCACCAGCAACAACAGCTACAGCTGCAACAGCACCAGCGCTGACAGCAGAAGCAGCTTGCGGAGACACCCTGCAGACCACTCAAGAGACTACGGGCTCCGCGAGTCTCTTCGTTTCTCCTGGCTTGAGTTTCCAGCTTTTGCGCGTGAAGCTTCCGTAGAGACAGCAGCAAAAACAGCATCTTCTCGTGAGCAGCAGCATTATCAACAGCAGCAGCAGAAAGAAAACTGGATTTTCTTACCGGCTCTGCTAAGCGGCAGTGAGGCTGCAACGCCCTCTCTCTGCCGAGATCCCTCGTACACTTGTTGTGCGTTTGCTACTGTTTGCTGCGGGCCTGACTTCTGCGCTGCACTGACAGTGGCTGGGGGTCTGTACACATGGGGAAACAACGCAAATGGTGTGTTGGGCCTTGGAGACCTCCGCAACAGAAGCCGACCAACTGCGGTGTCTCCTCACCACTTCGTTGCTGTGGCAGCTGGCAACGAAAAACAGCAGCAGCCCCAGCGCCTGCTTCATGTAGCTTGTGGGAATTCACATGTTGTTGCTCTCACATCTGAAGGCTGCCTTTTTCTATGGGGCAGCAACAGCCACGGCCAATGCGGTATTGGGAGAGAGAGAGAAGCATTTCTGTCCCCGCAGCAGCTGTTGCTGCTCGATCTCTCCCGCGTGCCTTTGAGCCGCCTCACCCTTATTCATTCCCTCGTTGCGGCAAGTAGCGACAACAACAACAGCAGCAGCAGCGGCGGCAACGGGGAAGCACAGGGCTGGCTGGGCCTCGGCTATGCCCCTGCGGGAGGTGCTAGCGCGAAGCTGTTGGCAGCAGATGCTCCAGGGTTTACAACTTTGTTGGAGAAGGAGAGGCTAAAGGAAATCCTTCTAAAATCCCTCGTTGAATTCTCGCAGGTTGCGTGCGGGTCGCTGCACACCGTCGCCGTAGGTTTAACTGCTGATCAGCTCCAAGGAGGAGAAGTTCAACAATCTCTGCAATGTCTGTACAGCTGGGGCAGCAATACAAATAACTGTCTCGGACTCCCTGCAGCAGCAGCAGCAACAACTGCATGCGCACCACCAGTCTGCCTTTCTCTATCCCCTTTAGGAGGCGAGATCCAGAAGATGCAGGACCAGCAGCAGGACCAGCAGCGGATGCCGCGCATAAAGCAGGTTGCAGCTGGGGGTATAACGAATGCAGCTCTGTCGGAGTCTGGGGAGTTGTGGTTGTGGGGCGACCTGCAGTCTTTTGTTGTTAGGTGAGACAACGAAGTTGCTGTCTACCCTGAGCTAATCAGTGTTGCTAAAATCATGTAGGCAACCTGGGTTTCTCCTCATCTGGAGAAGCAGTTGCCGGTAGCTGCTGCCTCTGCCCTGCTACGATGTCTGTGCAGCGACGATGGAGCAGAGTTCTCTGCTTCGGCCCCTATGCCTTTTGAGTTAATAGAGGAAGCGTATGTCTGTTCTAGTGCTGGAAGACCCCCCAAAAGCTGCAGAGTGGCCATCTGCAGTGTAGCGTTTGCGGCTGAAGGGGCCCGGCTGCTGCTGTTTACGCAGGATGGTGACTTGATTGCAGTGGGAGACGGTTGCGTGCAGCAGCAACTGCTGTCTTTCCACCGCAACGACCAGCAGCAACAGCAGCAAATATCGCAGCAGGAATGCTGGAAGAAGGCAGCAGCCACCGTTGCCCCCCGATTCTGGGCAGACAAAAGCCGAAGACAGCGCCTCAGAGGAGCCTGCAGGCTTCATGTTCCACACAGGAAAATAGTCAAGGTGAGCAGCAGAAGCACTTCCTGCTGCTACTGCTACTTCGCATCCTGTTGCTGCTGCTGTACTTCCTGCTGCTGCTGCAAAGTGTGTTGCTGCAGCCGTCGTAATAGCTGATGTGCGGACACTTGTATCGGCTTCTCTGTCTCAGGCCGCCGCTGGACTTGACCACTTTTTGCTGCATACTCTCCCTTACGACTGCAGCAGTGAGCTACTGCCGCAGCAGCCTCGTGCGTTCCTTATGGCGATGCACCGCCCCCCTCCGCAGCTGCGCCTGCGCCTATCGCCAGCTCCTCCCAGCAGCAGCGGCTCCAGAACTCCCAGCAGCAGCAGCAGCAGCAGCACTGCAGACTGCACGCGAATGACGAGTTACGCAAGCAGCACAGCCATACCCTATTCTAGGGACACGGTGCCGCTGGCAGAAGACTCTGGGTCCCGCCCTTCTGCTTCCGTTAGGAGTCACAGCGCCACCCCTGCATGCAGTGCTGACGGGGCCTCTCAGCAGCAAAAGCAGCAGGAGCAACAGCAACGGCAACTGGCAGAAGGCCCACCAAAGCAGCTCTGGAAAGCCGCGCCAGCGGCACCCAGTAGCAGCAGCAGCGTGGGTTTGTCTTTTGCTACAGCAGCTCGAGATGCAGCTGCTGCGGGCCTGCATTTGACGCTGAGACACCTGGCCAGTGCGAGTGAAGGAGCGGCAAAAGCCGCAGCAGCACGAGCAGCAGAAGCAGTGGAGAAAGTGGCAGACGGACATGGAGCAGCAGTCGTGGAGGGCCTATTAGACCACTTGGATAGGTAAGGGCATGCAGGTTGCGGCGTCAGCAGCAGCATCTGCTACTGCTGTTGGTGTGGCTTTTCTGCTGCTGCTGCTGCTGGAACCGCCTTGCTGCAGCAGCAGCTGCTGCGGCAGGCTGCATTTGCAGTGTACCTGCATAACGTTTGTCCAGTGGTTATGCATTGCGTTGGGCCAACTGAAACTGCGCGTGGGTGGTCCACAGTTTACGTTGTATCTGCAGCTCCACTTCTGGAGAGGCCTTCTATGTTGTTGGTTGTGTTGTCTCTGTAGGGGGTCGGGAGCCGTCCTAAGTGCCATCAGCAGCGGAATCTCCTACATCCTGCCACGTTCCAAATCTCCTGCGGGCTCCAGCGCAAGATCACCACCTACAGCAGCAGCAGCCAACAGTAGCAGCAAACAAGGGCGGAGTACTACTGCTGCTGCTCGTCTCCATGCGCCTCCCCTGAGGCCTCTCCCTTCCTGTTCATCCTGCACGGAAGCCGCACCTCCCGTCCCCGTTCCTGCAATCCGCGTGGGCCCTCCCCAAATGGGGGCCTCGTTGCGTCCTCTACTGCACCCGAAACCCTCACAGTACGCACAACAGCCACCGCTGTTGCGGCAGCAGCAGCTGCAGCAGCAGCGGGCAGCGCAGAAGCAGCATCAGCTGTACAGCATGCCTCCCCGGTCGCAAAGCCTCACAACACTCCCTTCCTACGCAGCGCAGCACCTGGACCCGCTGCAGCAGCAGCTGCTGGAGGCGGAGAGACAAGAGGCGTGGGAGCGCCTGACCTCTATTGGCAAGCTTCCTGCTGCTGCTTCCTTCTCCCCTCAGCCGTTGCATTCGCGTTCCTCCTCGCAGCAGCAGCTCTCCCACACCGTACAGCCTCTGCGCGGACACGCCGCCGTGGTGCAGCTCCCCGATATTCCCCAGCAACAGCGGCAACAACAGCATCAGCCAAGGCAGCAGCAGCAGGAACAACAACTACCGCCGTCGCCGCAGCAGAAGCAGCAACAGCAGAGGAGGAGTACTGCGCTACGGGAACTGCTAAAGTGCAACACTGCCCCCGCAGTAGTGCACCAGAGGGGGGAGAGAGTGCTTTGGAACAGTGCCTTGCCACACAGACAAAGCATTGCTGCTGCTTCGTGGCAACAGCACCTGACAAAGCAACAGCAGCAACAGCAGCAGCAGCACCCTTCCGGCTGGTCCACACCGACCCCCAACACACCACCGTCTCGCAGATGGTCGCAGCAGGGGCAACCTGCCGATAACAGTAGCAGGGCTCTCCCCGCTGCTGCAGTTGTAGCCGCAGATGGGGACGACTGCACCCTCAATCTGTCTTACTATCCACAGCACGACCCTAGCAGCAGCAGTGCAAGTCACCACGGCCTTCTTGCTGCCCGTCTTGCTGCTGCGAAATCGCAGGATTCGGTGGGGCAGCCCTGGCAGCAGCAGCAGCAGCAACAGCAGCAAGTCTCAGGAGTTGCAGAAGGAGCAGCCCAGCACCTAATAGTGCCTTCATTTTCGGTCTCACCCTTACCCTCAAACGACGCAACAGCAACAGCAGCAGCAGCAGGAGCCGCTGCTGCTGTAACAGGAGCAACCACAGCAGCAGATGCATTGCCCCAGCTAATCTATGCATCAAATGCTGTTGCTGCTCCTGTTTGGCCTTACTCTGGCGAGACCGCAGAGCAGCTCCAGCAACACGAGCAGCAGCTGATGCTGCCTTCCTTTCCGCCCTCTACCTATCCGCAGCCACAGCAGCCCCTGCAGCCACAGCAAAACTGGGCGTCCCTTGACTGCCTTGCACCCGTGGGAAGCGACAGCGACAGTCTAAGTGCCTCCTATCTGCCACGGCACTCCGCTGTCTATTTGCCTCTTCACCAGCCTAGCAACGCGCCTGCGGCAGAAGCAACAGCAGCACCAGCAACAGAGAGCTCCAATGGCAGTTGTAACCAAGATCCTTTCGGCGTCTCCTTCCAAAATCCTGACACCTTGGAGTCGGTTCTGTTGAATAACCAGCAGCTTCTGGGGCAGTTGCAGCAGCAGCAGCTGCTGCAAGCAGCTTCACAAGGCGGCCTGCAGAGCCATCAGTCGCAACAGCTGCTCCTTGTACATCCCAGCGAGTTCCTTTCCAACCCCCAGCGAGAGAACATGCAGCTGCTGCGGGGAAATGAGTTTTTGCTTATTGACAATTCGCAGTATCAGCAAGTGCTGCAACTGCAGCAACAGGAGCAATTGCTGCAGCAACAGCAGGAGCAGATAATCAAGCAGAAGCAACTGCAGGCGACTTCTACGTGGGACTATCTGCAGCAACAGCAGTTCCACTTAACAGCAGACACGCTCCCGTCTCATCATAAGCAGCATCAACCGCAGCACCAGTAACAGTCCCACATGCTGCACCAGATGCAGTTAAAGCAGCAGCACAGCTTCAATTGGCTGCTGCAATTGGAAAGTGCATGTACACCCCAGCTGCCTCAGTAGCTGCATTTGCTTCCGTGGATACCTGGGTGGCTGGCTGGATGGCTATCCAGCTAAACGTGTAGCCACCGTGGCCCCCTCTCTCATGTTATCTGGATGCTTTGTTCTCGCTCTTTGGGTTTGGGGTCAACGTTTGGGGTCGACGGGTTGTTTGCTATTGGCTTTGCGGTTAAGGGTCCTGCGCCAAGGCCTTAGCGTTTTTGAGAGTTGAGGTTTGTTTGCGTGTAGGGTTTAGTGCCCAAGCAACTGTACACAGATCTCTTGAGTACAGTTGCCGCAGGAGGTTGCCAGCCGTTCAGCCTCATATGAGGTGCATCTGCAGAACAGCGGGGGATTTAGGGTTTTACGGCACAGTGTTTAAAGCGCCGTTTTGCAGGCACCGCTGCAACACAAGTCCCCTGAGAGGGTTTAGGGTCGGCGCTTAGCGGCGGGGCTGAGGGTTGAGACGCATGGGTCCTACGTAGGTGGGGTCTCTTAGGCAGTGGAGACAGCGAGTTTCCTAAAGCTTTCTGCATCTCAGCTGGAATCGTCGCTTTGAGTTTGCCGCTGCTCCCTCCAGAGCAACTGCCTAGAGCTAGCTGGCGGGTAGATGGCTAGCCGTAGCAGAGAGTTAATCTAGCTACTGGATGGGTGGCTTGATATCGCAGCTAGCTGCAACAAGCTGGCGGATGGACAGCCAGCTGTAACAGCTAGCTAAAGCTAGCTGGAGGATCGGCGGCTAGCTGTGCCAGCTAGGTGCAGCTCGCCTCCACCTCGCAGAGAGTGCCTCACTTGCTGCCGCTACTTTCCCCTCTCCGCAAGGCCGCCTGACCGGCCTGGCGAAGAGGCGGAAGCAGCGAAAGACCCACAACGATTGCAGCAGGGTTGAACTGTCTGTACCCCCTCAGAAACCAGTCCGACACACAATTAGGCTCAAGCTCCTTCTCATCGTTCTAAGGCTGACCGAGCATGTGTAGGGTTTAGGGGAGCTCGTCGAGCTCGGCGCTGTTGCGAGGGAAGCAGCCTCTTGCACTGCATGCAAGTACCGGCAGTACACGCACGTATCGAATTGGGGCTGCAAAAAGTGGCACTACTGCAAGTGGCTGCCCTGCTGAATAAGCTGCAGCGAGAAGCTACTAAACCTCAGCCTTCAGTGCAGCAACTAATGATGCTATTAACTACTAGTCTTCTCCACCATCAAATCAGGCTAAAAGATGAACTCCCTAGACCGTCCGGCTGCCCCACAGGGGAAGGCATCCCGAGTCTGCAGCCAGCATCACCTGGTGCTGCGGGGTGCTACTCGTCTGGCTGCACTTGCTGCTGCAGCATGCTGCTCTTCTGGGGTTAAGTGGAGTGTCTCCGAGGCTCCGTCCCTCCATCTGGGCGTTGTTTTGGCTGTTCTTGGCGTTTGGGGCTGTACTGGAACTGTATGAGCTTTCATCCATGCACGCAGCAAGTGTGCAGAGCAGCAGTATATGCATGTTCAGCATTTAGTCGGGCGATTTATTTTTGCAGCAATTTTGAGCAGGAAAGAACTTAGGTCGGTGGGGAGTGAAGCGGCTCGAGAGAGCGCACAGACACGAGGCGACAATATACCAAAAAATGTGACAACAGCGGCTGTTAAACATTATCTAAGTTATAGGGTTTAGGGTTTAGTATTTAATGCTCGGTGTTTTGGATTTAGGGGGGCCACAACCGAGGTTGAGCCGCAGTTGCTCGTGCCGCCGGTCTTGCTGCGGTTGGAGGGAGTTAAGCATGGGAAAAGGATCATCAAGTTTGCAACAAAGAAGAAATAATTAAGGGCAATTAGGGAGAGGAGTTTGCCAAAAGAAGCCGGAAAAGCGAATCCTGTGCTGCTACCCTGCGGGCCCCAGCGCCCTGCGAGCAACGAGAGAGAGGCCTGCTGGGCTGTCCCCTTTTTGCTGCTTTTCAGACTCGTTTTGCATGCGCTTCAAGCCATAAAAGGCATTTTCTGGGGCTGCATTACTGGTTCAGGGGACCCCAGGCAGCAGCAGCCAGGACGGCTGTCTGCTGCTGGCGGCTGCTGCTCTCCGTGAACCACTTCCAACCCTTCTTTTCTTGTTCTCCTTCTGCTCTCCGTACATACGGGGGACGCAGCAGTTCGGTCGGAAACAGCAGGAGCAGGAGCAACCGCAGAAACGAGATCAGCGGCAGCAGGAGCCGTTTCACCAGCAGCAGGAGCAATAGCAGGAGCAGCAGGAAGAGCAGGGACAGCAGGAGGAAGAGGAGCTGTTCCTGGCTCTTGTTGTAGTTGTCTCTGTGTGTCTGGAGTCAATTCGGAGCACTTTGGTGTGTCTCTTTTTGCGTTCCTATGAAGTCTGTGGGCGGTGCTGCGAGCCCTTCGGGGCCCCCGGGGCCCCCCTCCCCGTTTCCGCCGCAGGGGCCAGTCGTCCACCCTGAAGGGGTCCCCTCATCAGAGGAGGCCTACGGGGACTCTCCTACTCAGACTATCTGTCCTCACTGCAGCAAGGCCATCACGACAACGATCCGGTTCAAACGATCTTGCTTGGGGGTCTCCTCGTGTCTCGCTGCCTTTCTCTTCCTCGGATGGGTTGGCCTGTGTATAGGGCCCTTTTTGTGGATCGCGCTGAGGGTAAGCAGCAACACACTCCTGCTTGAGGTCCTGCTGCTGCTGCTGCTGGAGATGTGGGTGACTCTGTTGCTGTGTGTGTGTGTGTGTGTGTGTGTGTGTGTGTGTGTGTGTGTGTGTGTGTGTGTGTGTGTTTGCGTGTATGTGTGTTTGTGTGTTTGTGCGTTTGTGTGTTTGTGTTTGTGTGTTTGTGTGTTTGTGTTTCTGTTTGTGTTTGTTTGTTTGTCTGTTTGTTTGTTTGTTTGTTTGTTTGTTTTTTTCGTTTTGTTTGTTTTGTTTGTTTTGTTTGTTTTGTTTGTTTGTTTGTTTGTTTGTTTGTTTGTATGTTTGTACATTCGTTTGTTTGTTTGTTTGTTTGTGTTTGTGTTTGTGTTTGTGTGCTTTGGCCGCTCCAAAAGTAGGTGTTGTTGCATCCGTTCTACGCTCTTGTTTGCTGCTCTTATGAGCGCAACTTTTGTTGTAGTTGGCGCATGCATGCATTTTCTGTGTTGGGGTTCTCTTCTTGCTGCTGGGGTGCGCTGCGCAGGACGCCGTGCATGAGTGCCCGCAGTGTAGGAACCTGGTGTGGAGACGTAGCCGAGTATCCTGTCCTTTGAAGGGAGGAGACAGGGTTCTAACCCTGCGATGTGGAAGTTGTGCGGTTATTCTTACGCGCCGTTATCTTTTCTGCAACCTAGGACTCGCTTTCGTCATCGTCCTTTGTCACCTCTTTAGAGGAGGCCTCTTCGAGCCGTCGCTGCAGCAGCTAGCTAAAGGCAAGAAAGAAGTCTGGTCGTTTCCTTCGTGTGGCAGTTTGTTAGTCATATTTGTGTTTTTCTTGCATTGCTGGCGTATCTTCGACAGTCTCCCTGCCCACATGGCTCCCTTTTTATTGTCTATCTCCCTCGTGTTTTTCCTTGTGTTTGTCTCTTTCCTAATCGAGAAGGGCTTCGTTGCGTGCACCTGCACCTGCGTGCATACCAACAGCTCATTGGATATGTGCATGCATGCGCATGCATGTACGTGGATGCGTCAATATTGGGGATACGCGCGTGCGTTTGCGTTGGGGCGCGTTTCAGGGGAGATGACGTCGCAGTCTTGGTTGGATTTTGTCTCAAAATGCGGTCAGCGATCTCAATTGGGTAATCCGTTGCACGCAGGTGCAAACTTTGCAGACGAATTTGCATTTAAGACGGTGAGGTGGGTAGGGCTAGTTAAGCAGGTGCGTGAGGGCTTGTTTTCCTCTTCTCCTTCTTTCTTGTTGCTGGCGATGAACCCCACTCTGTCCGTGGCCGCAACTCGAAGGGGCGGACCCCCCGTCACCGAGGAGGCAGGTGACCCTGCGGGAGGGCGAGAGGCCCCCGAAGGCCTCTTGGCAGAACTAAAACTTCTGCAGCAGGAAGAAGAAGGCATGAAGGGAGACGGCGCAGATTTAGCTTTGGCCTTCGACTCTCACCTTGCATCGGACGTCTCCAAACTCGATCCAGGAGACAAAATTGCCTTTGAAGCTACTCTTCATGAACTTGGCAGAAGGTGCATCAGATACCTTAACACGTCTTCTTTTCGTACGACTGTATCGGCCTGTAGCATTATCGCAGCACAGCTTGTCTAATCAACTGCAGCGAACTCTCTCTGTCTCCTACTGTCTTTTCTTCGTATTCTCTAATCTCTTTCCGCTTCATCCTGTCTCATTTTGTCTTCGTCTTTTTCCTGAGTCTGTTCTGCATGCAACAACGCCATATGCACTGTGTGATCCACATGTGTTAAATGAAATCAACACATGCCCCAACTACAACGGTTTCTTTTGGTTCCGTTTCTTTGTTGTTTCTCTATGGTGGCCCGTTTTGTATCTCTTTGTTTCTCGCCTTGCCTGCAATGACCCATTGCAGCTTGTTATTGGCTGCAGAGTTTCTCCCTGAGCTCTACGTTGGCTTTGCTGCTCCCAATGCTGTTGCTGTTTCTGCTGTTGCTGTTATTGCAGGGGCAAGCCGACTTTGGGTCGTTTATGGAGCGTCGAGCTGTTGGAGCCATGGGCTTCCCGTGAGATGCGTTTGAAGAAAGCAGCAGCAGCAGCAGCTGCTGCTGCTGCAGCAGCGGAGACACTTTCGGAGTCGCTCTTTCCCGACATGCTGCTGGGGGGCATGGGGGGTGGCATGCTAATGGGGCTTGGGGGGGCGTTTGGAGGGCTGCGGCTGCCATCTTCCATGTTAGGACGAGGAGTTGTGGTTATTCGCTCGTCAACTGTGGGGAGCGATGGAGAGGTGCTGGAGGAGGAAGTCTGGCAGGCGGGAGGAGACGACCCTGCCACCCCGACGCTGTTGTTGCAGCAGCAACAGCAGCAAGGAAACATCCAAGTTGCTGCTGGAAGCTTAGCGAACGCTTCAGGGGACGCCGGAGTTGTGTCCATGCTTAACGAACTGATCGAGCATTTGCAGCACCACCAGCACCGGCACCAGCCACAGCAACAGGAACGGAACAACTTGGACGTGTTCTCGCTGGGTTTGTCAGAAGAAGAAGAAGCCTCTAATGACAATAATAATGATGCTGATGATAATGATGAAGACGATGGCGAAGAAGATGACGACGAAGACGAAGAAGAAGATGGTGGCGGCGGCGACGAGGGAGGACCTGGAGGGCGCACCCCAACAATGGAGACAGAAGAAGAGATCGCACCAGCTGCAGCAGCAACAGCAGCAGCAGCAACACCAACAGGAACAGCAGCAGCAACGGCGGCAGGAGACAAAGGAAAAGCCAGCAGCAATCTAGATACCACAACGACACAAACACGGGAGGCCGAAGAACTCTTCTACGCCCTCCCACCGCGGCAGGTAGACGCGGAAGCACCGCCAGTGGTGCCCGGGACGCCTTCGGAAACTAAGGAAAACACCGAAGAAAAGCAGCAACAGCATCGTCAGGAACAACAGCAACAGCACGAGAAGAAGACTAATCAAGCACAACAAAGGGAACAGCAGCAAAAACAGACGAAACAGCAAACAGGCGACACCCTGCAAAGCACTCCCCCCCCTTCAGGAAAACCCAAGCAATTCACCAAGCAGCAGCAGCAGCAAAAACAGCAACAACACAGGCAAAAGCAGAAGCAACAGCAGCAGAAGCAGCATAAAACACTGCCTTCGCTAGAGAACCAGAAGGAGGGGCAGACCGAGAAACGCCAGCAAGGCTATCCTCCTCCACAGACACAGCAGCAGCAGGGACAAGCACCAGTGTATCCGCAGCAGCAGCAGAAGCAAGTGCCTGCTTACCAACCGCAGGAGCAGCATAATCATCATCGTCAGCAGCAGCAGGTGCCTACTTACCAACCGCTGGAGCAGCTACAGCAGCAGCAGCAGCAGTCGCTTCCTAACCAACCGCAGCAGCATCAAGTGCCTCCTTACCGCCCGCAGCAGCAACAAGTTCCTCCCTACCAACCGCATCAGCAGCAGGTGCCTCCCTACCAACCACAGCAGCAGCAAGTGCCTCCTTCCCAGCAGCAGCAGCGTCAGGAAGCGCCCCCCTACCATTCGCAGCAGCAGCAGCAACAAGCTCCTCCACACCAACCACAACAGCAGCGGCAAGTGCCTCCTTACCATACGGAACAGCAGCAGCAGGTGCCTCCATCACCGTCTGCAACTCCGCTATACTACCAGTCGCCTTCGCAGCAGCAACAACAGCAGGCGCAACAGTTCGCAGCGCAGGAGGCTCAGCCGTAGTAGCAGCAATAACAGAGGCAGCAGCAGCTCGTAGTTTAGAGGCTGTAGGAACGCGGCTGTCTGGCAGCAGTTGCAGCAGTTGCTGCTGAGTGAAGAAGAATGGACAAGATGTCTCATTTTATTCATGCCACTTCTGTCCAATCATTAACTCAATGCAGCGGCAGCGGCAGCTTGTGTACATCACCAGTAGCCGCAGGATGTTGTTCTGCAGCCTTCACCAGCTAGACAGCGGCAGCAGCAGCACCCTTATGCAGTAGCAACTGCATCGGTGCTACACGAAATCCAGCGAAAACTTCAACAGCAAAAGTAATAAGGGCAGCGGCTGCAGGAGCGTCCCCAACTTGCTCCTGCCGGCATTATGGATATATGCGGGATCACTGCATCTCGAATAAGCCATTGTGATATTCGCGTGCTTCTACTGCTGCTGCTGTTAGCGTATGCAGGCAACTAAGCATCCGCTCTCCTTCGTGTGTTTTCCCGATGCCACTTCAAATGGCAGCAGCATGCCGTGCCGCTGTTGCATCAGTGGATTTCTTGAGCACAGCAGGAACACTATATGCAGGCTACGCTGCTGCAGCTATTTCTGTTAATGGCACCTGCTGCTGCTGCGGGCTAAGAGTGGCTTTGTGAGTGGTGGCGGTTGAGGCGTTGGGGCCGCTCCTTTCCTTTTCTTATTTTGTGTGGCTACGAATTTTTTTTGGAGCTTTCGTACTGCGGGTTTCCCATGTAGATTCGTTCTGCAGTTCACTGCGTTACTTGTGCTGGGGTCAGCAGCAACAGCAGCAGCAGCGTCGTTGCAGTGGTCGCAGCAGCAGCAGAAGCAGCGGCGGCAGCTGTAGTAGCGGCAGCAGCAGCGGCAGCAATAGCAGCAGCAACATCGGGGACAGCGGCAGCAGCGGCGTCTTGGGAGGTGCCTGGGACGTTGTGTGCTGCAGCCGCTGTTACGGCAGGCTCGAAGGTGTTTGAGGGGGGGGTGAGTGTTTGCTGCTGCAGCGTACAATATGTTTTCTGTTGCATTCCTGCTCCTTTGCTGCAATGTTTGGAGAAGTACTGTAGCGAGGAAGGACAGAAACGGCCGCGGCGGCAACTGCTTCTGCTGCGGGAGCAGCTGCTGCTTACGCTTCTGCTGTAGCACCATCAGCTATTGCCAAATGCCGCAGCGTTGCTGAGGCAACGCGAACCAGCGGGTGTGTGCCAGCTGCTGGGGAGATAAGGGGTTAAAACATAAGCGTGCCTGTGCATGTATATAAGATACAAAATAATTATATATATGCAAATATATAATAGATAATAATATGTATACTTGTATATAGTATGTCTGTAATAAGTATACATCTATGTCAGCATATATATATATTAT